TATGTCAAACCTCACATGTTTTATGCGAGGCGTCTGTCGAAAGAGAAAAAAAGAAAGCCAATGAGCTCTAGCTCTTCCATTTACAAGAACCAGATAAACGAGCTATCCCGTTTGTCAAAGTTGAACCTACCTTCCTTAGAGGAAAAGATTGATAAGAAGGGGAAGGAAACAGATGAGCCTTCTGTGGGGTCACCCAAAAGAAAAAGTTTGTTTTGACCAAGAACATCGAACCTACTCCCCCTAAACAACAAACGACGATCGATGAGTCATTGAGAAAACCCATCGAGGTAGACCCCATTTCCTCTATGAAAATGGTAGAGGTCGGGGAGGTGAATGAGGGGAAAGAAGAACTCATAAAAAGGAAAAAAGGCAAAAAGGCTGACAAAGGTGGCTTTTCAGTGGTCTTTTCAGAGGGAAAAAAAATTTTCTAGGGGACAAGTCTGATGAAATGGCCTAGGCGGTTTCAGGAATGCTCCCTGCCAAGGTCCAAGAGGTTATAAAGATCTATCAAAAGTATTGGACTGATAAGTCTTCTTCTTATGTACAGACCTGTGACTCGGTTGACATGCTGGAGGCTGGCCTCGCTCTGCAGGCGCGCTCACAAGGCCCCTTCTTAAATTTCCAAATAGACATGAAAAGACTGCAACGGTTGAATAAGGAATCTGGCCAAAAGGTTGCTAATGTGGAGATAGAGGCAAAAAGGTTGATCGCTGAGGCCTCTACTGCTGACGAGGTCATTAAGGCTTTTAAAAGTGAGGCATGTTGAGACATAGTCGAAGATCAAGCTTTTCACTACTGAAAATGAAGAAATAAAAAATGAAGTCCACCTTTACAAAACTGAGGTGAATGCTATGACAAAGCGGGTCGAAAACTCTGACAATTTACAAAAGATAGCTTCGTCATCCTTGGAGGTGACCAATAAAGATAAGGTGAAGTTGAAGGCTCAGATAGACGAGCAGACTACTAATGTCACTAAGATACATCAATAGTTGAGTGGGGCAGGGGAGGCAGTAGTAAACTACTACGTGGTACATTTCCATAAGACATATGAGTAGGGCGACCTCGGTTTATACTGGAGAACGGTCACATATAATGAAGTTTTTGAGAAGATTGGCAAGCTATATCCCCAAGTAAATCTGGTTGTTGTGAATGAAGAGTTCCTCCCAACTAAGACATCCACCCATTCGAATGGTTCTGAGAACTCGAATGGTGGAGGAAGTGAAGCTGAGCCCTAGTAAGATGAAGTTGTTCTATAAATTTCGCCACAATCTTCCTTGCTCATCACTGTAGTAGCTTTCCTTTGTAATGAATCCATTTTATTTAATGAGGCAAGTTCTTTTTAATGAAATGTGTTGATGTGATGATTCTAAAGTTTGTGTGAACTCTTCGCGATTGTGATAAGTGTATTTTATACATTTATTTTAGTCATTAAATTAGAGCAATTATTGTTATTTAGGATGAAGTGGTGCTTAACTTTATACATATTTCGTTTGTTAGGTGCAATTGGAGGCAAAAACAATGAAATTGGACAGAAGAGCGAGAAATCTTCTAACTTGGGCTTAATCAAAAGTTTGAGGACTAAATCGCAAAGTACCAAGAGTCAATTCGGACCTAATGTTGATGATCGAAAAAGAGCTAAAGACAATTAAATGGTGTTGGAGGATGAATGATCAAGAAGCTATCAAATATGAACTAAAAGGAACGAAGAATGAACTTTGGGGACCAAAGTGCGACACATAGAAAGATTTCATAGTGGCCGTGCGCACGGGCTTGTATTTCGTATACAAAGAGTTGTAGCAGTATGCAGCGCGCGCACAAGAAAGTGTATCGTGCACACATGGGCATATTTCATAAAAAAACAGGCAGATTCCTTTTTTGACACAAACTCTTATGAAAATAAAATCTATCATACTACTTAACCTAAGGGAGAGTGATAAGTGTATTTTATACACTTATTTCATTAATTAAACTAGAGTAATTTTTGTTATTTATAATGAATTGATACTTAACTTCATACATATTTTGCTTGTTAGATGTAACTTGAGGCAAAAAATGAAATTAGACAGAATAGCGGGAAATTTGCTAACTTGGACTTAATCAAAAGTTCGAGGACTGAATCGAAAAGTACCAAGAGTTGATTCAGACCTAATGTTGATGATTTAAGAAGAGCTAGAGGCAATTAAATAGTATTGGAGGATGAAAGATCAAGAAGATGTCAATATGAACCAAAAGGAACGAAGAATGAACTATAGGGACCAAAGTGCAACACACGGACAATTTTCAAAATGGAGCACATGTGCAGGCCAATACTCTCACACGCGCGCACGGGCTTGAATTTCATGTGCAGAACGTAGAAGTGATATGCAGCACGTTCATGGGCATTTTTTGAAAAAAAATTGGACAGATTCCTTTTTGACATAAATTTTTGTGGAAATAAAATCCATCATACTACTTAAGTTAGGGGGACAAATAGAACGGCTCTTTTTCTTCGAGAGGGCAAATAGAGGATTGCAAGGAGAAAATCTCAAGAGGCAAAGATCAACAAAAGCAATTGCAAGAAGATTGACAACGATTGAGGGAAGAATTCACGTAACACAACTGGTTTTTTCTTTTATTCCATACTTCTTCTCCATGTTCTTTATTGTGTATTTTATCATGTCTATCAATTCCATTATGAACTAGACTTTAATCCTAGGGATTTGATGTAGTCTATTTAGATATGTTTTAATTCCTATATAATTATTTCAATTAATCTTTCCGGTTATTTATTTATGTTGTTCTTACACAATGCTTTCAATTAGTTGACTACTAATTGACTGATTTGATACTTTAAATTTCGATGCTCGAGAAAAGCAAATTTAGGCATGATCTAAGAATAACATAACCTAGATTTCGAGAGAGTGCGAATTTTTGAAGCTAATTCCACTTAAAGAACTAGGTGTTTTGATAATTTCTATATGTTTAGTTTGGAATAGAGATATTGGAATTAAAATATAAAAATAGATTCTATTTGGTGCTCGAGAGAGGGAAATGAAATCAATTTAGAGTTCTTGCCTATAAATTTTGAAAAGATTGATATAAATAGTTATAGCGATTGTAAAACATTGTCGATAGTACGGTGAAATCACTCCCTAGGCATTCATAATTTAATAAGAAACTTTACAAATTGCTTTTGTTCACTTTGCATCGTTCATCTCATTCATTTTAATTTAGCAATAAAATATCGTTTAAAAAATTGATTGTTTAAATAAAGTGAAAGTTAAAATAACTATAGCACTCGATAGGATTCAAATATCAATCCATGTGGGTTCGACACTCTTATTCTAATACAATATTAAAAACGTGACACCGTACACTTGCGATATAAAATCACGTTGCATAAATCGCGTGACAAATTTTTGTCGTCGTTGCCGATGATTGATTCATTTGAATTCGATTGATATTATTACTAATTGTCTTTCATTTTAATTTGGATTTCTATCATAACTTTAATTTTTATTTATTTTTATTTGTATTGTGTCTATTTTAATAGCTTCCTTGTTCTTATTTTCAGCTATTTATGCGAATGGTGAGAAATCTTGACTTACTACATGTTGATCCTGATATAGAACGTACATTCCACCTTCTAAGGGGGTATTCAGAGACACAACCGTGAAGCAATGGCAGAACAAGATCCACCAATAACAAATTAGAATAATTGGAATGGTCAACAACGGGATATAAGGGACTATACCAAACCAGTTGTCAACGAAAATTACTCCGGTATTTCACGCCCAGCTATTGCTACTAACAGCTTTGAACTGAAGCAAGGAATTGTACATATGGTGCAACAGAATTAGTTTGGAGGAGCTCCAACAAAAGACCCAAATGCTCATCTGGGGCCCTTTTTAGAGATCTGTGATACAGTGAAAATGAATGACGTTATTAAAGATGCAATCTGACTCCATCTATTTTCCTTTTCCCTAAGAGACAAAGCTAAAGTATGGTTCCAATTATTGCCGTATGGATCCATCACAACTTGGGAGGGGTTAGCATAGAAGTTTCTTACACAATTCTTTCCACCTTTGAAGGTAGTGCAATTGCGAGGTGAAATTGGGCAATTCTGACATTTAGACTTCGAACCGTTCTATGAGGCATGACAGAGATATAAAGATCTATTCAAAAGATGTCCTCAGCATGGTTACATGAATTGGTTGCAGATACAAACCTTCTACAAGGGTTTGAATGGTCAGACGGGGATAGTGGTAGATTCTGCAGCAGGGAGTGCATTATTATCCAAGACTCCAAATAAGGGTTATGCATTATTGGATGAGATTGCAAATAATAGCTATCAATGGCCGAGGGAGCGTTCAAGTGCAAAGAAAGTTGCTGGCCTTTATGAGGTGGATCCCATTACCGCCCTTACAACTCAAATGTCATCTCTCACTAATCAAATAGCTACATTGACTTCACATGGATCGTAAAAGAAATCAAAATCTATTCTGGCTACATCCACTGCATACCAAAAAACTGAAAAGAAAAATGAACAACTTCAGTATGTGAACGACCAAAACTTCAATCAAAAGGAAAACTACTCAGGAAACAACTACTATCAAGGGTTCAACAATCAGACGTCTGAACGAAAGCCATCACTAGAAGATATTTTAGGAACCTTCATTTTGGAAATTAGATCGAGGTACAACAAAGATGATGCAAGACTTGACAACATTAAGACTCATATTACCAACTTGGGGCCATAGTGAAGAATTTGGAGGTACAGATTGGTCAGATAGCAACTGCGATACAGTCCCAATAAAAATTGAAATTTCCCAGTGATACGGAGGTCGGCCCAAGGGAACACTGCAATGCTATCACCTTAAGGAATGGTAAAGTAGTTGAAGAACGCAAGCCTAGAGAGGTTGTGGTGCGTACATCAGACCGAAGAGCATAAAACTGAGGCAGAGGCAAAAAAGAAGATTTATAAACCTTACTCAATTTCATTTCTGGACAACCCACCTATCATGAAGCCACCACCACCATTTCCGCAAAGGTATTTGCAAAAAGAGTTTAATGAGAAATTTGCAAAGTTTCTGGAGGTCTTTAAGAAAATCCACATCAACATTCCCTTTGTAGAAGCCTTGGCCCAAATGCCTAACTATGCCAAATTCTTAAAGGAAGTGATATCAAAGAAGATAAAGTTGGAGGAGTTCGAGACTGTTAAGCTGACAGAGGAATGTAATGCCATACTTCAGAAGAAACTCCCTCACAAATTGAAAGATCCGGGTAGCTTCAACATCTTGTGCAATATTGGTGGTATCACGTTTGATAGGGTACTGTGTGACCTTGGAGCTACCATAAACTTGATGTGCCTATCGGTGTTCAAAATGCTGGGTCTTGGAAAAGTGAAACCCACAACCCTTACCTTGCAACTGGCAGACAGATCGATCACATATCCCAAGGGCATTATTGAAGATGTGTTGGTGAAGGTTGATAAGTTCATCTTTCTGGTGGACTTTGCGGTATTGCACATGGAGGAGGATGAAAAGGTACTGTTAATTCTTAGTCGACCTTATCTGGCAAATGAAAGAGCATTGATTGATGTGTAAAAAGGAAAGTTGACACTACGGGTTAATGAAAAGCAAGTAACTTTCAACATCCATTAAGAAAAGAAAGCCCCAGAAAAAGGAAAAGTTGACATTTGCAAAATGATCCAATCAGCTGAAGTAATTTCAGGAAACATAGGAAAAGGAAAATTACTATATGATCCGTTAGTGCAATACATGACAATCAGTTACTCAGCAAGGGATGCATCTACTGATGGTAATGACTTGGGAACCAAGAAGGCGGTGAATTTCATCTTAGCCTAAGAAGCTGACCCACCTGACAAAAAAGAGAGCATGTGGATAAACCTTTGAAATCTCCAAGCATTGTCAAACCAAAAGAGGTCTTGAAGGTCATACCGGGGTCAAAACCACATAACGTTGTTCACCATTTTACAATGAAGGAGAATACAAAGTCGAGGGTAAAGTTCGAAAACAAGAAAAATGTGCCACATAAGGATCCAACGTAGGCGTTGCGGTTGAGTCAAGCTAGTGACTATAAAGAAGCACTTCTTGGGAGGCAACCCAAGCATTTTTACATTTTCACTTATTTTATTTTATTTCTTTTAAATTATAGGATAGTCTATTTTATTTCAAAATTTTTATTTAGAAATTCATCAGCCCTACCCCGTCCCCCTTAGGTCTTTTAATAATCAAATTGATTATTGATGTTCGAGCTAAGTAACACTTGTTCTATGAGTTTAATATCTACATTTTTTAATTTTTAGGAACATGACGTCGGGGAACAATCAAACCAACATTAATAAGGAGAAGTTGGATAAATCTCAAGTTTGGGGGAAAAAACGAGAAGAAGCGTCCATCAAATTCAACATCAAAATATTGGGGACAATGTTCAGTTTAAGTTTGAGGGGAGTGTATAATAAGTTGTCTAATTACCTAATCTTTTATTTTGTGTGATTTGTGTGCATTTTTTTAATTGTTTTCATTGTTAAAAAAAATCATGTTCAGCATGCTTGTGTGAGTTAGATAGCCTTGCCGACAATGATTTTTATTAATGAGAACATGCATTGGTTTATGAATTGTGGACAAGTTACGTGTGTGAGTCAATTTTTTACTTATTCATGTGAAACGGAAATTATTTTGCATGTGAGCTGATTGTAGCGTTGTGCATGAACAGGTGGATTCATGTTTATAGGTTGGACTAGAGAACTTAGATTGTTAAACCCAAACGACCATTAAACATCAGTATACCCTTAAACCAAATTTAGAATGTTTGGAGGATTGCACTATTGTGGAGAAACTTGGAGCTAAATGTGAATTCAGTGTGTGTCAATTTTTGCGTGGACCGTCTGAGACTAATATGATAAAAGTTGTGTGAAAACTTTAAGTTAGAGATCGATTTTCGAGGATGCGAGTTTAATAAGGGGCATTGTACTAAGCACTGTAAAAATAAGAATAAAAAATAAAATAAAATAAAGATCCTAATGAGAATAGTTTAAATAATCTCATTGTGAATTATTTCTTCGTAGCCTTTATGACTTGAGTGATTAAGCCTGCAAGGGTTTAAAACCTTATGCCCTAAATTTATTTGATTTGGGAGTTATCGACTTAAAACTCGTTACAGGGGTCACATAGAAAGCTTAAGGGAATGACGTCCGCACAAGAGGTGGAAAAAAAATTGCCTTGCTTAAACACCGAACACTCATTTTAGAGGATTTGACCTTTTGACAAGAGGTTAGTAACTTGGTTAATTTTTAGTGGTTGAAGCAGTCAAAGGTAAGTAGAATCCTCATTTGTTGACATGTGGAAATGCAATCAGTAAAATCTAATCAAACTTGAGTGGTGTAAGAGATTAGTATTGAAGATTAACCTTAGATTACACAATGTGAAAGAGAAAAGAAAATAAGTTTGGGGGTGTGTGAATCCCACGAGCGAAATAAGGAACTAGTTGACTTTTAAGATTGGAAATTGGATCAATTTATTATTGTACAGCGTTGCACTTCTCTCTCCACACACACACACCCCCGTTTTGCATTGAATAAGTAAGAAATTTAGCTTGTATAAATATTTTGTTCCTTTTTCTGAATCTATTCTTCCTCGCCAATGTTTTTGGGGGGGGGGGGGGGGGGGGGGCCCGGGGTCCATCATACAATCAAAAAAATGCATATTATTAAGAAATCGATGTCTTACTCTCGGCTCGGTAACAGACCGTTTCTTCCAAAGCGCGCCACATCCGTTCCAATCGCAATAACAAATAAGCACATAAGAAAGAAGATAAATGAAATGGTCGAAATTCAACCTTTTGTCACCATGTACAAGGATCCCCGCTAAGCATCCATGGTTGAATGGTTAAAGCACCTAACTCATAATTGGCGAATTCGTAGGTTAAATTCCTACTGGATGCACGCCAATGGGACCCTCTAATAGACCATTTTTGTTCTTTCATTCCAGTTAAAGCCTCCTTGAAGTATCAATTAATGGAGGAGGCTATACCATCCTAAGGTGCTGCTAAATGGATGGATCTTATCAACGTCCATGAATGATAAATCTAGTTCAAAACCGAACATGAAACTTTGGTTTCATTCGGCTCCTTTATGGAAGATAAGTAAACTCCTAGTTGATACTTCCACATATTATAGGTAACGTAGGAGACATCTTTATTTTTCCTCGAGGGAATCTTTAGAATTCCCACTGCTTAACTTTCAATTCAATTATAACTTTGAAGTGATTCATATAGTCGATGTTATGGCTTCAATTCTGAGCTATGGAGGTAAGATATCTAACCAAATATGTTCTAAGTAATTTTGTGTGTTTTAGCTGTGTTTGTGTGAATATTAATGATTTTATTTGATCTGGCTTTTATTTGAAGACAAACAATTGTTCAAAATTGGGGGTATTTGATAAATGTATTTTATACACTTATTTCATTCGTTAAACTAGAGCAATTTTTGTTATTTATGATGAATTGATGCTTAACTTCATACTTATTTCGTTTGTTAGGTGTAATTCGAGGCAAAACAATGAAATTGGACAGAAGAGCGAATAAATTGCTAACTTGGGCTTAATCAAAATGTTTGGGGACTAAATTGCAAAGTACCAAGAGTTGATTCGGACCTAATGTTGATGATTTAAGAAGAGTTAGAGGCAATTAAATAGTATTGGAGGATGAATGATCAAGAAGATATCAATATGAACCAAAAGGAACGAATAATGAACTATAGGGACCAAAGTGCAACACATGAAAAAATTTTAAAGTGGCGCGCATGCAGGACAATACATTTATGCAAAATAAATGTAGAAGTGATATACGGCACGCGCGGGCATTTTTCGAAAAAAAATTGAACATTCCTTTTTTGACACTAACTCTTATGGAAATAAAATTCATCATACTATTTAACCTAAGGGGACGAACAGAATGGCGCTTCTTCTTTGAGATGACAACAAGAGGATTGCAAGGAGAAAATCTCAAGTGGCGAAGATCAACAAAAGCAATTGCAAAAAGATTGACGACGACTAGGGGAAGAATTCACATAACACAACTAGTTTTTTTTTTTTTAATTCCCTACTTCTTCTCCATGTTCTTTGTTGTGTATTTTATCATGTCGATCAATTCTATTATGAACTAGACTTCAATCCTAAGGATTTGATGTAGCCTACTTAGACATGTTTTAATTTCTATATAATTATTTCAATTAATATTTTCGATTATTTATTTATGTTGTTCTTGCACAATGCTTTCAATTAACTGGCCACTAATTGACCGCTTTGATGTTTTAAATTTCGACGCTCGAGAGAGGTAAATTTAAGCGTGATCTAAAAGTAACATAACTTAGATTTTGAGAGAAAGTACGAATCTTTGAGGCTAATTCCACTTAAAGAACAAGATGCTTTGATAATTTCTTTATGTTTAGTTCGGAAGAGAGATATTGGAATTAAAATATAGAAATAGATTCTATTTGGTGCTCGAGAGAGGGAAATGAAATAAATTTAGAGTTTTTGGCTATAAATTTTGAAAAGAGTGATAGAAATAGTTATAGCGGTTGTAAAATATTGTCTATAGTGTGGGTGAAATTACTCCCTAGCATTCATAATTTAATAAGAAACTTTACAAATTACTTTTGTTCACTTTGCATCGTTCATCTCATTCATTTTAATTTAGCAATAAAACATCGTTTAAAAAATTGATTGTTTAAATAAAGTGAAAGTTAAAATAACTATAGTACTCGATAGAATTCAAATATCAATCCTTGTGGGTTTTTGACACTCTTACTCTAATACAATATTATAAAACATGACACCGTACACTTGCGGTATAAAATCACGTTACATAAATCGCGTGGCAAAAAGGAACAGAATGGGGAGTTCTTTGGATGGCTCAAAGACGATTGCAAGGAGAGGAAATCTTAAGAGGCAATGATCAATAAAAGCAATTACAAGAAGATTGACAACAATTAGGGAAAGAATTCATGCAACACAACTATTTTCCTTATTCCATACTTCTTCTTCATGTTCTTTATTGTGTATTTTATCATGTCAATTAATTCAATTATGAATTAAACTTTGAGATCTATGACTTGATGTATGATAAGATATGAAATGTCGTGATTTACATCCATTAATTCTTGCATTTTTATGACTAATTAACACCTAAATATGCTAAGTACTCTTATATTGTGGTTTAGGTTGCATTTGGATGATCATGACATAAAATATACGGAAAGAGCGAAAAAGGACCTAAATGAAAGAAATCAAAAGTTCAAGGACTAAAATGAAAATATCCAAAAGTTGAACCGGAAAGAGAAACGAAGGAGTGAAAGATTTGTAGGTCAATTGATGGGAGACTTAAAGTGATGGAAGAAGGAAAACAAGAAAAAGAGGCCAAGAAAATAGAAGATGAAAGCTCAGAGACCAAGTTGTAAATAATCTCCAGATGAGACAAGCAATGGAATGAAGATTCAAGAGTGTTAAAGGTCAAGTGGATGAGGAAAGAAGTCAAAGGGATGAAATACAATCAAAGTATAATCGCACATCAATTTCCAATCGAA